ATATGAGGAGAATACTGAGGCAAGGTACCGGAGGATTCTTGAGAGAAACCCTGATGCTCCCGAGAAATTGAAACTGACTCTTAAAGCGGCACTTAAAGAAAAAGGTAAATTAGAAATTATAATCAATTAATTATAGATAGGTTCTGACATTGATTAGTAGCATACATACTGTATAATACTTTAATTTGGCGGAGTTTTATTTTGGTGATTGGCGGTTTGCAAGCAGAATCCCCAATATTTTTAAAACTGCCAATCATTAATGCGCATGCTCAGTAATGCATGTGTACACAAAAATCGTCAAATTAAAAACCACCAATTACAATTTTACAGCAAAATCGCCAAAATAAAGCGCCGCCAAAATAAAGCACTATACGGTATATTGGTATTTGGGTTGCCTGATACAAAATTTATGTATATGGCCAGTAGTTAGTATTTTTAAAAGCACAACAAAATTTTGGATACCGTATAGAAGAAAATTTTGGAAGTAGTTAAATTTGGCATTTTGATAGCCAATCGCCAAAATAAAAATCCACCATTTTGAGCCGTTATGCGCATGCTCAATAGCACATGGCCACAAATTCGCCAAATTAAAATTCGCCAATCACCAAAATTTAGCCATTCGCCAAATTTAACTCCCTCCGTAATTTTCTACTATACAGCAGGGTTGTTGTCTATTAGTTTGATTTTTAATCATTACTATTACCATTACTTTACAAAAATCTTTATTACATTACCATTACCATTACAATTTATAAGTTATACCACCAATTATATTATCATTATTATTGAAACTACCTAAATTACCATTACCATTACTTTAGAAAGTGTACTACATTGCATTACAATTACCACAAAATTGCAAGAAACTGTGTTTTTCAAATTTTTTTGTAATAAAAGAGCACATGCTAACTGTCACACTCTAGTTAGCAAGTTAACATAAAAGCCATAACCAGTGACTGATAGCAAGATACTCTTGCTGATAGTATAGTGATAACACCATAACACAACACACCATCTTGCTTAATCCATGCAATTATCTATTACAATTACCATTACCTTATCTCTACTATTAATTACCATTTGCCATTACCAATAGAACGAAATTAGCCATTACAATTACCATTACCATTACAGCTAAAAAGTAATATTACCTAATTAATTACCATTATAATTATCATTGCAACAACCCTGCTATACAGTATTCTTATTTGAAAAAAAAATTTTTGTTGGTACATTCATTGTGCATCTACATGTATTATATATAATCTACTATTTTTAGATTAGACCAATCTGGAAGTACACAACTCTAAAGACTAGAAGATAATTATTAGACATAAAATAATCAATGTAGATATTAATTATAGTGAACTACACTGCACAAGTACTTACATATCTATTTACTATTTTGGTGAGGGCTCTTGGCCCATTATTGTTCATTCATTCATAGGCGTAGGAATGATTC